TGGGTTAGGAGGAAGCTGAGCTGTCAGCATATTAGGAAGATGGTGGAGCCATTGCTACCATCATCTACCGAAGGAGACGCTCTGCTTCTTACAGCAGGTCTCCTCAGTTGGTCTTAGTCTACTGGGGAAACAAGCTGGCGGCAAATCCAGGGGCACTCCATCACTGCTGCCACAATGAATGTCACTGCACATCAGCTTTTCACACTTCTCTCTAAGCATCCAATGCTGGAACTCACAGGCCCTTTGGTCCCAAATCGCGGATGAAAGACAGCTGGCTTATGTCAAGGAATTCTGTCTGGAAAGAAGTGAAAAAAAAAAAAACACACTTTAGAAAGTTAAAGAACCGGGGAGGGAGAAAGAAGGAGGGATCTACACTCTTTCCAGCATCCACGCTCTTCCGATCTAGGCCCTTTGGTCCCAAATCGCGGATGAAAGACAGCTGGCTTATGTCAAGGAATTCTGTCTGGAAAGAAGTGAAAAAAAAAAAAAACACACTTTAGAAAGTTAAAGAACCGGGGAGGGAGAAAGAAGGAGGGATGGCAAGGGAGAAAGGAAGGAAGGAAGGAAATTCATTTCTGTTTACAAAAACACATTATTGGGTACCGCTATGGGCAAATGCTGTTTGGTACACTCTAAAGACTAGAGAGATCGATAATGATGGTATTGCCCTGAGAAAGTACTGATTAGAAGCACATAGCTAAAACACAACCATGAAGGATGATGTGGAGACCAAATGCTCAAGAAGGCCAAGGAAAGGGACTTCACTTCCAATATTGCTCTGCGTTCATTTTTGTTGTTGGAGGAGAAGGTTCTGTGGCATAGGGTGGACCCAATAATAAAAGAACATGTGAAGGCAGTGAGGTGGGGCCAGATGCAGGAACAGGAGGAAGTGAGGGATGAAGGGGAAGAGAACAGAAGGAGCAGGAAGGCAACAGGATGCACAGCTGTCCTTAGTGAACGAGGTGAAGAAGGGTAAGAGGAAATCGTGGCATTGCATGTTGCAGAGAAGTTAGGGAACATCAGGCCTAACAGGAAGAATTATTTTTGATGAGTCAAAAAGGAAGAGAATTTGAGGACCATCTTCATTGTAAAAATTATCAGATTAAAACCTATAAATATTGTAATAACAACAGCGACACCTAACATGTACTGAAGACTTATTATGTGTTGGCATTGTGTTTGGCAGTTTTCACACGTTACCTCAAACCCCTCTGAAGGTAGTTACTATTTTCCCATTGCATAGAAGAGGAAAATGAGCAGGGGCGAGCTAAGGTTTTTTGCAAAGAATCAGACAGTAAATATTTTGGGCTTTGAGGGCCATAAAGTCTCTGTTGCAACTGCTCAACTCTGCCATGGTAGTAGGAAAGCAGGTATAAGTCACACATAAATAAACGTGTGTGGCTGTGTTGAATAAAACTTTTTTATGTAATTATAAAATATAACTTCATGTCACAAAGTTTTATTCTTTAAATTTTTTCAACCACTTATAACACAAAATTCTATTATTAGCTCACAGAACATAGAAAAACAGGCAGTGGGCTCTATTTGGCCCATGGGTTCTAGTTAGCCAACCCCTGGTTTAGGTAAATTGTCTAACATCCATAATTAGCAAAGGATAGAATTGGTACCAAGTGAGACCAAATTCATCATCCTCAAAACTAAACTGCAAAAGCAAAATGTCATCTAACCTTTATCTTGCTCAAATTAAGTACTTTGCATATTCTAGCTGGGTGAGAGCTACATGCAAACATAGACACAGAGAGTGAAAACCAAATTGATAGTATGTCGTGCTTAACATGTGCAGGGGTTTTACAGTAATCCTTGAAACAACCAAAGTTAGAAATAGTGATATTCCCAATTTGCAGATTTGTTCTTTTTAAGCAGCCAACAGTAAGTCTAGATCTGCCAGTAGTCCTTAAACCATGCCACTATCAGCTTCTACAGAAAAAAATATTCTCCCAGCATCAATCAGGAAGTACAGAGAAGGGAGATTAGACATGGAACAAAGTTCTGTGGGAAGAACCAGGCAGGTTTCACATGAAAGCAGTTATAAAGTTACAGAATAGGGGGAGGGGAGAGCACACCTGTCTAATGTGATATCACAGAGGAAGTGGCACTTGATCTAGGTTTGTAACTGAGATTTACCAAATGAAATACACACTTTATATCTGTTTGGAAATGCTTAATATTAATATTATAAGAAAAAATTACAAATATTTTAAGAATCGTAAATTCTTGTGAGATTCAATTAAATGTTTATATTTCTTTCTTTTCTTGGGTTATTTGAAGAAAGTACATTTTTAAAATTAAAAAGGATTTACCTATCAGATTTAGTTATTGATTTTTTTCACAGTATACAGATATTAGATGACAACTGAAAAATATGTTCAGAGTTTAATGAAAATTCAGTAAACCTACGCATAAGTTGTAAAGACAAATTAAAAGCATTTAAATAACTTTTAAAAATCCCAAGTTAAACATATCTTCACATAATACTTTTTAAATAAGAATTTTAAAAGCCAAAGTCTTTAAATTTCATTTCTTATATAAAACTCAGTGATTCAGCACCATACATTTTTTATCTGATTTGTGAAAATACTTTCTAATTGGAAAATGTAGTAACCTATGTTGTTATTAGAAATGACATTCAGACTGTCAACCACAGAATGCAAAATATTTTAAGATCCTAAGACATAACTTCTCATTTTATCTCTAGGATGATGCAAATCCTATTTTACATTTGAAGAAACTACTACAGATGTGTAAACTAACTTATGCACTTAGAACTGAATGGAAGAATAAGAACTAAAGACAAAAATCAAGGAAGCCACTTGTCTAATTTCTAGATATTCTTATTTATATAGCTCTTATCATTTAATAATTAACAACAGAAATAATCTCTTAATATAATTCATAACTTTAGAACATAACAAAATTGCTAAATGTGAGGAATTTCATCTAAATAAAAATATGCATTATAATTGTACATTACTATGAAATTTAATTTATCTTAATGGCTTATTAAAGTTTGACTAACGGGAGATTTCAAAGAGAAATCAGCACTATTATAGAGAAAAGAAAAAAACTATTGGCAATAATGGTCAAATACAGATTTTTCAAATTGAAAGTAAATGTGTTATCACCAATTTCTAGGGAAACCAAATGAACAAAATGTGCAATTTTACAAAGATTATGTTGTGCAAACCTCTCAGTGCATCTTCAGTGATAAGAATTCCATTCTCCATTTGGGCATATGATTCTCAGGTAAAAGAATTTAAAGATCATTTGAACCTAACAATATCCCATGGGATTTACTGTGCAAAGTACCAATGGGTATCTTTTTGTTTTTGTTTTGTAGAAGGAGTTGTGAAAAATTCAATTAAATAATGTTCTTGGCAATAGGTTGTCTCAAGTTGAAAATTCCAATGTGACTTATCAATTGGATACTTGAAAGGTTAGAGAAACGTGCTGCAGGAATTTTCGTGCCAAGAGGCAAGCAACCAAACCTAAGGGTAACACGGGCCCTAGAAATAACCTGGCAATCACCCTGTCCTTTCCATCTATCTTTGAAGGATAAGGGGATGATGACTTTCAGAGGCCCCTTCCATTCCTCAGGTAGCCAAAATTTAAGTGTGTGGGCAAATGGGAAATTCTCAGACACAGGAAGATGAGAGGGTTGGGAAAGGCAATCCTCTGGTGATGGAGAAGAGGAGGCCCAGGTACTCTAGGGATGGCTGTCTTCCAAATAAAAAAAAGTTAACAGAGGTACAGGGTACGAAGGAGACATCTCATCAATGTAGGAATGCTAAGATTGGACTAAGGTCTGCATCCTTCTGAGATTCCATCAGGAGAAAGAAAGCACCTCCCTTAATCTGCAAATGCAGGTATTTGATTCAGTACAGCTCTTCTCTGTTGAAATGGATACCCTGTGTGCATCTTATTCCCTACCTATTTTTCCATTCAAGTTAAAGTTATTCATCCTATGAAGGAGGGAGGTGAACTCAATACTATTGATCTGTGGGAGGTTCCAAGCAAGATTTCAAACTAATCACTATGTTGGAGATAAGGCATCTGAATTACAGAAGTGAAATGATTTACTTCAAGTTAGGATTAAGATAAGATCCTATCAGTTTAGGGACTTCTCTAGAAAACAGTGCATTTCGTTCCACACATAGATTTTAATCTTAGGTAAGAAAAATAAATAAATTGATTGTTCCTTATTCCTCTTCCTTTCAATTCCCTGGAAGATAAGCATTTTCCAGTAACTATTTAAAGTGCCCTGTTAGTGGGCACTGACTCAGTTTCAGAACACAAGAGGAATTCTTACATGAGTTCTTGTTATTGTACAACTCAGGTACGGAGCGCTACTTCTTTCACAAATTTATGTCAAGTAAGAAAGTAAAGTACAGGTACGCCCACTTTACATTCAGGAAACTGACTGAATTACCAATAATCTCTGACGGAACTGTGATGCAGAAATAGCTAGAACACTGGGATATCCCGTTTGTCCCAACCACAAGGAGGAAAAAAGGAAATAAAAACAAAGTCTTCATAATCCTGGAAGAGTTTGTTGTCTGAGTGCCTACCCAACCAATGACTTAATAAAAGGAAAAAGAAAAAACTCTCCATGTCTAATTTCAAAATCCATTTGAGAAAACTGAACAGTCACTGCTTTGAAGCCTAAACACAGTTCTTTCTGGTAAATCCTATTACACAAATCCCACAATAATCTTTCTCCACTTTTTAAAGTAGTTCAACTTTACCAAGACATTTTAAAGTTGGCAATAGCATTTTAGTCTATCTCTCAAACTCTCCAGATAAGAATCACCCAAATTATTTGTCAAAAGCATAGATTCCAAATATAGATCTGGACCATTCTAGAGTTAATGAGGATGTATCCTATCTAGTTCCTTGATCTATGATCCATGATGCTATCAGTTTAAGGACCTGAATTAACTTTAAATAGACTCATTTTGTACTCTTAAAGTATAAACTTATTATATGTGCATATATAAAAATGATTTGTAGTATGCTTTTTGCAGATGGGTTTTTAAAAATTTCTCATAATTACCAAGGGAAACACATAGATGCCAATCTAATTTTATGAATGTGATGTGGAGACCTGTGAATCTAGTCTTTAGACCAGATTAAATTTAATATGAAAGGAAAATAAGGTTAGAGAATTAATGTATATCAAATTGTATCTAATGCTTGAATCATTTTGGAGAATTCAGCTGTTGGAGGGAATAATCTTAGTAATATGAGATCCCCTCACTTTTGATGGGGATAATATATTTATCAAGTTACTAACTAGGTTTTCTTCTCCAAAGGAAATACTTATAAGGCACCCTGGGATATCTAAACACAATATAGATTAACTTTGAAAAGATTTTTATGACTGGAAAAGTAATTTAAATGAACACTTAAAAAATATAAACATTTTTTAGTTGACATCAGAATCCAAAATGTAATAATGTACATTTTTTAGTTGACATCAGAATCCAAAATGTAATAATGTACATGGAAAGAAAAGAATGAACTCACTAAGTACTGTCCTAAAAACAAAAGAAATAGTACAAGTAAAGTCACAGGCAGGTAGAAAAGTAAGAAAAATGGAAGATTATTGACACAGGTATTAGTATACATTTAAATAATTCTGCATTAAAGAAAACAGCACATCTGATTTCACAAACTGTAACAGAGGGCAATGTTTTTAGTAACAACAGCAGAGCTCCCTTACCTGTGATGTTATTTCAACCTTATATGATTCTAAATCCTAGAAAAGACCTGACCCCTCCCATCACCCTACTCTGGAGATCCTCTGATGGAACCCAAACTGCTGACTTTCTTGAGAAAATGCTTCTCTAGGAAGACACAGAAGTTCCCTAAAGTCCATCAAATATCCCTGCATGAGCTGCTGCAGGAGATGAGCAGCAGGCTGGCTCTGGGCCAGCTATGTGTAAGGGAAGCAGGTGTGCGTGCGCATCTTTGGACCAGCTTCCCAGGAATATGCAAGCAGGAGCAAAAGGGCACCTCCCACCACTGAGAAACTCAGCAGAGCCAAGCTCTCTATTCCTCTCCTGAATATACCCTCTTTCATTTACGGATTTATGTGATGGTATTCACTAAACTAGAGGCCAAGTCACAAGTGCACTACTCTTTATGTTCTGCACCATGCACTGACCCTACAGCAATACAGTCTACACCCAGACATTCTCAGTTTCCAGACCTCTGAATAACTGAAAACTAATCTTTTTAAATTGCTTTATCCTCAAGGGCCCCTAAGATGGCAGAGCTGGTTGTATGCCGGCTGTAAACCTGCTTCTTCCTGCTTGCCAGCTGCCTGGCTCCCAAAATCAATCTCCAGGGTACCTCCAATCTCCAATCCCCAACACCCTCTTCTCTTTTCTTGAGAGCTCTTCCTTAAGAAGAGCCTGGCTTTCTCAAGCTTCTCACTTTCACATGAAAAGACAGGCCAATCAGATGGCCATCCAAATATGCTCCAGAAAGTCTTGGGTATTCAACTCTGCTTAGCTGTTTTCATCACTTACTGCTTAAAGTTTTTTCTCTGGAACTCAAAAGGACTTTTGGCAGAAGAAGCCTGAGGAAAGAACAGGGTTGATTTCTAGATAATCCAGTCTGCGGTAGCACTCGGGCTCACTTAAGTCTGTTGTTAGAGACATATTAAGTTCTATTCAATATTTTAAATATAGCATCATATCGCCATAAACTGGCTCCCGGCTGTCAAATCAATTTTGCATTCATTAATTTGTTTTAATTCAAGGAAAAATGTAAATATGGATGCAAGCACTGTGTTAAAAAAAATCACTCAAAATTCAGCTCACAATTTATTCTTTTAGAAATTACTTCAAAATTTAAATCACTGAAGAGTACTTACTGTGGCATGATAATTTCTATACATGGGCATTTTTAGTATCTTTGTCAGGTAATCCTCTAGTTGTTTCTGTAATGCAAATATTTTAGATAAGAATTAATATAGCCATAGAAAAATTTAAATAGTGATAATGATAAAATCACCATTTCATCTTAACCTCTGTAAGTTATGATAATATTTGCTAATATTATCACTGGGCAAGGAACCCTGAATAGCATTAATGTATTATTTCTATAGTTTTTCTTCAATTATTATTTAAATCTCTTCTTGCTATTTAGTATTCTACATGAATAGGTCTTTTATAAATTGCTAACAAGACCTGAGCTGTATATGTTTTTAATCCTCCATAGCTATTAGAACAGGATTTGTTCATGGTAGGTAATTTCAAGTCATTTGTTGATTTTACCAAAACACCTGTGTATTTTCAATTCCAGCATTTAATTTACCGGTAGATTCATCATAATTTTTAAATAGTTTTCAAGCAAAAAGGAAGGAAAATGTTAAAAGAAAAAGATTTTCTAACCTTGATTTTTCAAATATGTTAAAATGTGTGTGTATGGGGAAAGCAGAGGTTTATAGACTTGGAGCATTCCAGTAACATATATCAAGTATATTGACCTTGACACATTAAGCCAGCACCTTTTTGCTGCATCACTGAGGGTTAATAGGTATAATCACTTTTAGTTGGGCTCATACATGTGCACACAATAACCAGAAATTATGTAATTTTATAATATCTAAGTTATCTTGGAAAATATTTAGTCCAGACCCCTAAAAAGATTTTAAACAAAGATGATAACTACAAAAGAAAAAATAAAATATTCCCTCTGAAACATAAAATTTTCAGATTATAAAACAGATTGCACAGAAATGAACAAATTACCGATTAATATCCTAATAAAAAATGCAAGTCCCCCACCCCTTGCAGTACCAATCGTAGCAGGGTGGCAAACACATCTCTTATCTTGAGTTTCCTATTCTAGCATGCGAGTCTGTGCTCAGCCTACTCTCCTAAACGCTAACTGCCCCACCTAGAGCAGAGCAATGCAACTTTCCATATTTAATATTTAAAATGAACTAACATATAGGAGCAAATGTATGGAAATAAATGATTTTAAGAGGAGAGTAGATCTCAAAACCCAACAAGATACACTCAATCTTCAATTCACAACAAATTTAGGGAGGTACTAGGAGGAGGATAACTCTTCACAGCATAGCTACCAACAAATACTCTTCAGTGCTGATACACCCTCTCGATGGCTTGGGAGGATGGGGATGCCTAACTGGTTCCAGAGCTCAACCTTGCTAGGGCTAGAGGCCAGCAGGTAAAAGAAACTTCAGCTGGAACCCCTCACCTCTCATTAAGTGCCACCTTTCTACTGTGCTGCAAAACTATGTTCAAAACAACAGAAGACCATGTATGTATAATATGTCAAGATACACTCTACTCTCATATATATCTAAAAAGAACAAATTAAAAAATAAAAAGCCCAATAAAATCAGCAAAAGGGTGAAAGAACTTACCCTCCTACCAAAGAACTGTTCTTCTCGAATCATGTTTCCAGATGAACGGGGCAAACTAGGCATCTCTCGAGGCTCCTCCCCTCTGACGTTCTGTCTTCTAAACGTGTGTCTAACACACACACACATAATGCAAACATTTATTAGAGAATTCTTTGAACTCTCATATTTCGTGAAATGTCTTATTTTTAAAAGAGCTTATTTAATTGAAAATATCTACCAACAAGCGACTAGATGACATAGAAAATGAATGAAATACACTCCCCTCCAATTTGTGTGTTGGGTTAACTTCATCTAAATTCTGAAATGGTTACCTTCTGGTAGGAATGGGAATTCGGATAAAGGCTTTGTACTTCAGCAGCTCTCTGTGAAATTCTTGAAAGTGCTTGAATTTCCTCTTAACTTGCCATTTAAATTCCCCATGTGTTAATTCAATAGTGTATAGATTGATACTTGGCACCTACAGTGATAAACAAAAATGGTTGGTATTTTAGATAATAAAAACTCCAAAAGCTCTCAATGAAAAATAGCTAATTAATTAGTAACATGGAAGTATACTTAAGTTCAGCCTACATACTTTGCATAAGTACTTTAAGCAAATATTTTTCGGAAACAATTGATCACAGAAATAATATTCTCTTAACGATCCACAGGATAAATTACACAAGACATACTTTGGATCATGCCACACTCCTACAAATCCTTACACATACAGAGAGAGAGAGAGAGAGAGAGAGAGAGAGAGAAAATATGTGCGTGCAGGCGCGTAAAACAGAGGTGGAGGGGAGGGAGGGAGGGAGGGAGGAATCCAGGCCACAAGTTCAAGCAATAAACAGGTAACTGGTAAAGGTGAGAGGAAAGCAGGAGGTGGTGGATGCCAGGAGCACCACCTTAGACAAATTTGTCCTTAAAAAAAAAAAAAAAGGTATATCATGTCTTCTTCCCTGCTCCTTCTGAAACACACTGCAATGTCTACCTTCATCTATGCCATTCCCCACTGCCCTGAGGCACTACCAGTGTTCAGGAAGGGTGGGTAGAAGCAGTTGCTGAAGTACTAAGCATATAGTATATACTTGGATAATATACTGTGTGTTTTTATTATAACGTACTAATACTATGGTACCCATTATTCAGATGAGGAAATTGAGAGAGGTGAAGTAACTTATTTTGAGATATCAAGGCAAGGACAGTAACTAACCCTGCAGTCTGGCTCTAGAGTCTGTACGTTTACCTCTTACCCGTTATTGTCTCTCAATCTAAAAGCAGGCAGTTAACATAAGAGGCAAAGGTCATCACAGAGATGCTCAATAGTTTATCAGGGAGACGTAAACCTAAAGCATAAGAAAAGCCTCAGGTGCTACACCAGGTGGGTGTAAATCGGGGATGAGCACGGGAGCATGAGTACAGGTTTAGGTTGGCCTGGTGAAGGCATTTTACTCTAGAGCTTTGTCACTGTTTAGTGAAAACATGTGAATGAAGACTAAAGGATGGAGCCTCAGTTAAAAAACAGAGAGGCAGAGTCTGCAGGTAGAATTCCCTCGGCATTGCTTTGGGTAACAACACTGGCTAATCTTGAATCATATTTTTTGTTATTTTGTTTTGTTTTGGTACTAGGGATTAAACCCAGGGGTGCTTAACTACTGAGTCACATCCCCACCTTTTATTTTTTATTTTTGAGACAGGGTCTCACTAAGTTGCTGAGGCTGGCTTTGAACTTGTGATCCTCTTATCTCAGCCTCCCAAGTTGCTGGGATTGCAGGTATGTGCCACAGAACCTGGAAGTATTTTTTTTTTTTAAAGCCAAGTAGAAAAAGCAGTATCTTGCCTAAATAAGCATTAGGAAAACTAAACTCTTCCCTGACTTGTACTTGGTATTCTAGTTATGATGGATATGCTTGAGAAGTCTAAAATGAAACAGAAAACTGGGGAAAGAGGAAGGCTCAGAGAGGCACCTTGCAATTTAAATTAATAAATTGCCTTCAATGCCACAAAGAGTATTGTCCAGAAAGGGGAGAAAGGAGTATGCAAATAAAGATGAAATAAGAAGGAATCAAAATCTCAGGATTTGAGAATTTGGAAACAGTCCAAACAAAAAGACAAACAAAAACCTAAAGAATAGGGTCATAGCTGGGAGAAAGGAAAATGGAAGTCAACGTAGTAATCCACATGTATTAACAAAAAGGCAAGTTCTTTGGGGGGGGGGGTTGGAGGGCAGCTCCTGTGGAGCATCAGAAGAATAGAGGAACTTCGGATAGCGGGAAGTTGGGGGAGGGGGCACGAAGGTAGGAAAGATGGTGGAATAAGATGGACATCATTACCCTAGGTACGTGTATGAAGACTCGAGTGGTGTGACTGTACTTTGTGTACAACCAGAGAAATGAAAAATCGTGATCCATTTGTGTACTATGAATCAAAATGCACTCTGCTGTCTTGTATAACAAATTAAAACAAATTAATTAATTAAATAAAAATAAAATGAAATAAAAATTAGCACAAAAAAACTAAAAAAAAAAAAAAAAACTAAAAAAAAGGGCAACTTCTTAAGTGCTCTGACCCTTGTCGTAGACGTGAAGCGCTCCACCTCCAGAACTTGTGCTTTTATTGGACAGCCGGAGAGATATGTCTGTATGTTAGGCTCCTTAAAGCCTTGAGTGTTATAGATAGCAGAGAAAGGGATATATCCTAAAAAAAAAAAAAAAAGTAAACAAAGTTATTCCAACAGGTGACAGTAGCATGATTTTGGCCTCCTTTTGAGAATCAATCGTTAAAATAAGCAAGCCTCTTAGGGGATGATTCTCAGCCCTGTGTTCTGATCTCTGCAAGGAAGACAGATCATTAGCTGGTTATTTCAAACTGTGCTGTGTCAACCAACTCTGACGGGCTCCCTTCTCCCTCAGATCCGCAGGCTTTACCTTCCTGAGTCCTGGGATCCATGGGAGACACATCGTATTCCACCTCTTCTCCCTCGAAGTGGAGTTCCCGAGTGTCCAGATTTTCTATCAAATTGCTCATGTCGGCAGCGATTTTCTGCAGTGCAGAGGTATTTACCCTTGGCTCGTTTTTCAGGGACATGTTAACTTCAGACAGTCAAAGCAATGGGGCTGAGAAAGGAAAAAGGGTTACATAATTACCTTTTGGTCCAGGAAAACCCTGTCCCACAATTTGAATCCTGGCTTACATGCAGCACCGGGAAGCAAGTCAGGTCTCAGTGTGAACCCCAGTTAATGCCAAATGACCTTTCAATTACCTTCCTGCTTAACATTTAAAGGACTCCTAGCTTGTAAATTAAAATGGAGAGAAATACCTAATTGTAAACAAAAAAGAAAAAGAAACACCACATTGAATAAGTGCCATCATTTCTCGCATATAATTTTATGAACTTCGATAAATGAAGAGAGATGTAAAGGAAACCAATCTGGGAATGCTTATTTTGAGAAAATAAATTGCTTCTTAGCTATAATAAATACATGAAAAGAAAAAAGAATCTTGTAAAATAAGTACCTTTCAACATTTCCTAAAGAAAATTTAGGGTATTTCACATATCTAAATATGCAGATATAGAAATGTTTTTGTGATAACATAATCTTTGTATATTTTCCTCTGTTGGTGACATTCCAATCAGAGTACACTACATCTTTGAGATATAAGGTTTTGGTCATGACTTTGCATGAGGTAAAATGATGTACGTGTCTTGAAAGAAAATTGATTAATATCCCTGCTCCTAAAGATACCTGAAGTGCTAGAATTACACTTCTCTCCTTTTTTAAAGAAAACTGGTTCTATTTCATCCTGACGTTTAATAACACAAGTCGCTGCACATCAGTACCCAGGGAAGAAGAGTTCATATAGATTTTATTTTTCATCTAAAATACTGTGATTTAAGCCTTTGGCACTGTCATCCGAGTTGGTTGAAAATTTTATAATACTCAATATAGAAATAATCTCTCTGTCACAACCAGGGTCTAAATGGAAGGGCTCTCATACAGGTGATTCTTCTGCACATGCTCATTAACATTATTGCAATTCACAAACATTAACTAAGCATCCACCATATGCGAGACTCAAGGAATGAAAATATGAAGGGGAATAAGGCTACTACCTTATGAGTATCTGAAGTGGGTAGGGGAAATAACTGAATAACCCAGTTCATCATTGCCCACATCCAAGGTCTTTCAGAGGATAGAAGGTACCAAGGAGAAGATCCTTAGCAGGGTTCTCTCCTATAGGAGCTCTCCTATAGGAGAAACTGGGTGCCTAGGAGAGTCTCAGGCAACCCTTATTATAATTCAACTAGTTTCTAAAACCTAAACACTATTGTGTCTGGTAGAAAGAAACTTTGTTTGGAAATTCAAAGATAGGGGTGAAAGAGGGCAGTTCTGGTTTGGAGACACACACATTAATTTATACTTATATATATAAATTAATATACTAAGTTCCTGTGAGCTATATAATTAATCATTTCTATTTTTCCATGTTGGCTATAGGGAAACTTGAAGCCAAACTCATAAACTCAAACTTATTTTTTAGCAAAATATAAGATTATCCTTGCCTATATCTCTTCCATTCAACTTTCTCTCCCACTTCTAATTTATATCCCAATAATAGTTAATGGGTACTAATGGCTTAGCATGCACCCAGCTGGTAGTAATCCTTTATAAACTATTACCTTAATAATTAATAATAAACTGTCAAAATCTTGCTATTTCTGTTTTGAAGATTACAAGAGTTTGTCGTCCTCTCTAGTAGATGAGGAAACTGAGAACAGAGATTAGATAATTTGACCAACGCTTTGTGGTGAAGCAAGTATTTCAATCCAGGTTGCTATGACCCAAAAGTCAAGGTTCTCAACCACAGTCTTTTATCTTGCTATTTTTTAGAAATATGTAAGTGTCTTGGAATAGAGGGAAATGTTCACATAAACAAGCATCCTGGGGCAAATCCCTTTAAGAAATGACTGGCATAATCCCAGCAGCTTGGGAGGCTGAGGCAGGAGGATTGTCAATTCAAAGACAATCTCAGCAACTTATTGAGATGCCCTTCTCAAAATTAAAAATAAATAAAAATGGCTGAACCCAACCCTCCTTTTTTATTTATTTTTACTTAATCCCCTGGGTTCACTCCCTAGTACAGAGAGGGTGAGAGGGGAAGATATGACTAATGAAAAGAACTGAAAATTCCCCCTGAAGCTCAGTCTCCATAGGACAAAGCCATTTCAATTCTTAAGGTCTTGGTTTCCTTATCTGTAAATTAAGGAGATTGAACCATTTCATCTCTAGAGTCCCTTTTATAATAAAACCTTAATTGTACATAACAGGTGCCATAAAATTGTTCAGACTCTCTTAGTTTAATGAACTTAACCCTTGTACTATCCCAAGAAATTAATCCAAGTAGTTTTGCACTTGAATAAGAGTAGGTGGCAGAATGTTTTCTAACCTGAATACTTTAATTAAGGTCTGGTTAGCCTCCATTCAGGAACTGTTGCCTCTGAACACAATAAAATATTTATTTATTTCCTTTTCTCTTAATTCAACAAAGAAACACTTATTAGATGCCAAGCATTAGCTGGATTTTGCTTTATCTAACATACAAGGTAATTAAAAGTTTAGAGGAAACGAGACAAGGAAAAACAGGTCAGATATTACATCATATCATTGTCACTTGTTAATTTTTATAGACTTTAGAATTTTTTATCGATTAAACAGATTTATGCTTAACTTTGCCAACTTTCTCAGCATAGCAGAGAAAAACAAGGTTATTGCAAATGACCTTCCTTTTAGACAAAGTTCTAACATTAAAAATGCATGTTGATAAACATACTATTTTGCATATGTAATTCTTTTGCATTTTTTAATTTTTAATTTTATTGGTGCATTACAGTTTTACACAATCATGAGACTCATGATGCCATATTTGTATACATATATAATATAATCGGATCTGTCTTATTCCTTGGTAACTTCCCTTTCCCTCCGCTCCCCTCTCCCCCAATCCTCTTGCTGTACTCTGCTATAGTCTTATAATCCCCCTTCTATTTTTATTACTGTTATTTTAATTAGTGCATTATAATTATACATAATAGCAGTATTCATTGTGGGACTTTTGTACATGGACATCGTGTAATTTCTTATATTTTGTCCCCAGTACTTCCCCATGCCCCTCCTTTCTCCTTCCCTTTACTCTATTGGTCTCCTATTTTCATGAGATCCTTGACACATATTTTTTAATGAAAGAATTTTAAAATGCATTTTGGTTTTAAAGTACACATAGATTAATCTCTACATTACAAGATAATTGAGACAAATAGTATAGAGTCATTGGATCAATTCAATATAAATAACTTATTTCCAATAGAGGAAAAGATGGTGGAATGACTCTAACATAATTTTCCTAGGTACGTGTATGAAAATACCTAAGTGAATCCCACCACCGTGTGCATCCACAAGAATGAATCTAATTAGAATAAGACATATTCCATGCTTTTATAATTTTATCAAAATTAATTCTACTATCATACATAACTAAAAAGAACCAATTTTAAAAAGAGAGAAAAGAAACATATTAACTTGTAGATGAGTGAAAAAAAGAAACAGGATAAAAGCCTTGATAACAGTCTTTTAACATTTATCTTCAAGTATTTATTATGTGCTAAGCATAATTTTTGCACAATTATGTTTTTTAATGCTCATAACAGATTCTACTCTAGATATTTAGTTAAGTAATTTGTCCAAAGTCACTCAGTTCATACCATGGTCCAGTTTTTAAAGAAGACTGGCTCTAAAATCTCATGAACTTGGCTATGCAGGTTTACAATTATTGATTTTATTTTATGGCTGAATGTCTATAAATTAAAATTAATCTTTTCTGTGAAGTGTATGTTCTGTGACAACAAGAGATGGCTTCTACTTTAATAAAAAAATCGTACCTTGGAAAGAATCACACTAACCCTACCATGATTACAATGATGGAAACAACATATCCTGACATCTTTCTGAATTTTTATAATTCATGGTATAAGATCGCATAGAACCACAGTGGAGCCAGAGGGTTTGCAGATTTGTTCATGTGATCCCAAAGACTGCACCACCTAACAATGGAAAACAAATCGGGTGGTTTGTCCACCACTGCCTTCGCTTCATCCAACAGCTGTGTTGCTGGTATCCTTGAATATCAAGCTATACAGACAGGTACCCTCTTATATTGTCAAATCTTCACGGTTAGTCAATGTTTCCTTTCATCTCAAATAATCCATACTGGGGGCTGAGCATCTGCCAGATTGCCAGCCTATGTTACCCTGCAGTGGGATAAGGACTTCATTGTTTACCCTTAAGATAAAGTAAATCACTTGTTATTGCCTTATAAAATTATACTGCAAGATTTTTATCTCTTTCAGTACCAGGAAGAGATGGTGCCAATGGAGAGATAAGAGCAGCTGTGTTTTACTTCTGTTTGCATCTATATGTGGGAAATAAGTAAGAGTTGGTTTCTGGTACTTTCCCCCGCCTGCCCTGGTTTTGAATACTAAAATTAAAAATCTTTTTAGGGAAGGTTTAATGACCTCCTATGATTCAGTGATGAAATCAGAGGAATCTAGCATTTGTGTCTGATCTCAATTTCAACAAGATTAGGAAGCACAGGACATCAAAGAGAAGCAGATATCCTCCTTTTCAGATAATAAATACATAAACATTCCCTTAGCCATATAACATTAATAACATTATTAATGATAATTATTGATATTAAAATAAATTTTGAAACTAGCTAATATTTGCTAAATGTTGTATAACATGCCAGGGACTCTAGAGAGAGATTAATCATATGACTTCTTTTAATCCTTACAACAATCTTAGAAGCTCAGTCTCTCTGTTAACCATGCTTTAAAGAGATGCTTAGGGAAGGCAGGAAACTCGCCCAGGTCCATGTGGTTGCAAAATGAGGCAGTTGGAACTGACCCTAGTTGACAGGCCTCCAAAGTCCAGCTACTTAACAAACCAGTAATGAGAATGGGGTAGAGGGAAGGGTGGGCCACCAAAAGTCTTTTACGCCTCGTTTGTATATTCTTTAAAAACGTCCCCCAAACCAACAACAACAACAACAAGAAAAC